AAAAAAAAAAAAAAAAAAAAAAAAAAAAAAAAAAAAAAAACCCTAAGAACATGAAATCCAAATAAATAAGTGGTTTTGTGGTGTAGGGAGTGGGGAGTGGGGATGGAATGGAATGGGAAAAACTCACTTAGATCTGTAAAAGGACAAGAACACTACTTAGTCGAGTCGAGTCGTGTTGGTTCGACTTCGGAATCGCCACAGCCTGATTTTAAACTCAAACACTTATGCCTGGCTGCTCCTGAGATGAATCTGGTAGACGAGTTTCGACAGGGGAAGATAGTGCCAGGAACCGCCCTTTTCGAGCACGAGGAGGAAGATGTTTGGCTGGTTTTCTTGAATTAACAGCCCATGGTAAGAACACTCCAGTGCCATCACGTTGAGATCTTCCAGGGCTCATCACCACAGGGCGGACAGGAGCTAACATGACAACAGGAGCACGGAGAATCCCCCATTTTGGCACTACCTCCATTGCTTCATAGGCGTAGGGCACTCCATTAGGCAAGGCACATGCACCTGCAACTCCTGGTTGCCAGAGAGTCATCGCGTTCGACATCTGAGACGTCGGTGGTTGGTATTGATCACAGTCTGGTCGAACTCGGAAGAACGTGATGGTGACCCGTTTGTTAGGCGATGCACACATGACATGACGTGCAACGTCTGCACTGTTCCCCCTCATGACCAAAAGAGACCTGCAAAGTTACACGCTTGTTATTATTATCAACACAACGAACCGAAAGAAGCCTACAACACTGTGAAAACATGTATTGATGGTTCACATCAGTCATGATTGAATATGAGAAACCATAACAAAAGCTAGATTTGAATGATAAGGCTGTTGGAAAAAGCATACCCTTCCTTCATGGACAGCATGAGTGGCCCCTTATAGTTGCCTTCGTTATCACTGACAATAGAACGCCCAAAGGCCATGGTTGATTCAGAGAGAAACAGAGTGGAAATGGGCTGTTCCAAGTGTGGAGGTTTCTGGAATGGCTGTGAGTACTCTCCCTACACACACACACACACACCATATTTTCCTTCAATTTAACCACTTCCCATTTTCAGATATCATCAAAGAAATCAATCGAATACCTCTTCAAAGAAATTAACGAGACACCCATTTGGTCTTTTATACTCGGGAATCAGTTGCCACTGAATAAGATGATCTATCACCGTCATAAGAAGAGATGGAATTGGCTCGATATTACCTGTAAGCATTGAGAGATTTAAATTTTTTACCTCTTACTCAAACGAAATCATGCTGATTTGATGTTGACAAACATGGGTTTCAACGACCTCGAAAAATGGGATGAGTTGAGAAACGTCTTACTTGTTTGGCTGTTATTGGCCGATTCCTCTCTGATCTGTCCAAAAATGGGGACACCAAGCTGGATCATCTCTCGTCGTTTGCCCTTCACTTGCTGATTGAATAAAACAAATGACTCTCCTGCACACATTAAGAAAACATCTTATAATTTCATCTCCATGGATAAGAGATAATAATACGAGAGAGAATCAAATGAAAGAGACGAACCAGAGAGCTCTCCATTCTTAGCAGCAGAGCGAAGATCATCAACAAACCCATCCAACTTAGCCAATTCAGACTCAGTAAAAACGTCTTCATAACACTTCAATCCCTTCACAACATTCACCTGCCAAATGTCACCAAATGAATCAAACAAAGCCCAAACCGCCATAGAAGACTAACAATCCAGCAAGAAGAACAGAGTAAATTTGAATGGAAAAAGAAAGAACTCGCCATGTGCCCTTTTACTGGCTCCTTGGCGGAAAAACCTTTTGTCAATTTCATCTGTCCTGGACGTGCTTCACACTCCCCATGATTACTGCATATCTCAACTTCTGCTGAAGTGGGCTGCACTCCTTGATGAGATCCTGCCCCAATTGTTTTTAAATTCCACACCCAAAAGAGATGAGCATATTTTCATCTTAATCTTAATAAATTACTCAACAAATCACTAAACAAATGCATTTAATGAGGTGGGACAATTTTAAATTATGCTCAGAAATGGAGCCATATGGTTTTTAATATTCTATATGGTCAACTCATTGTCCGTGACAAATTTTATGCTATAAGCGGCTATATCATATATAAAATTATACACATAGGCTTATAGGCTTATATGAAACTCAGAGCACAAAACAACAAAACAATTGAAGGACTAAACAATGAAACTACTATTCAAAGGTTGCAATAATATCATTTACTACTCGTACGAGTAGAAATATTTTTTGGATGAGAAGTCGATATTTTTCAAACTATATCTCGTTACCTACTATCAAGCTGCTGCTCTAGATCATGGCTACATCGTGTAGAAAAGTTATTAGAATATTGGATGAAAAGTCCGACATTCTTCAAACTAATCCTGTTAGCTACTATCAGTCGTTCTAGATCACAGCTACATCGTGTAGAAAAACTAGGATGAAAAGTCCGACATTCTTCAAACTAATCCTGTTAGCTACTATCAGTCGTTCTAGATCACAGTTGTTCAAGATCACAGCTACATCGTGTAGAAAAACTACTAGAATTTTGGAACTAATCCGATTAGCTACTATCAGGTCGTTCTAGATCACAACTACATCATGTAGAAAAACTAATAGAATGTTGGAACTAATCCAGTCAACTACTATCAGGTCATTCTAGATCACAACTACATCATGTAGAAAAACTACTAGAATGTTGGAACTAATCCGGTCAACTACTATCAGGTCGTTCTAGATCACAACTACATCATGTAGAAAAACTATTAGAATTTTGGAACTAACCTTGTTCGCTACTATCGAGTCGTTCTAGATCACAACTACATCATGTAGAAAAACTATTAGAATTTTGGAACTACAACTACATCATGTAGAAAAACTATTAGAATTTTGGAACTACAACTACATCATGTAGAAAAACTATTAGAATTTTGGAACTAATCCTGTTAGCTACTATCAGGAACTCACGACTACATCGATGGTCTATCAACATCCTAATAAATTTATAATCTAAAAGTTATTTTGAAATATTTATTTAAAAAATAAAAAGTGGGGTGGAATATATATATATATATATATATATATATATATATATATATTTCTATATTTATAATTTTAGACTCGGATAATTTAATCTGAAGAGTATAAGCAAAACCCCAGGCTCTATAGGATAAAATAAGTATAAAAGTTTTGTCGTCAAAGGAATTTGTCAAAAAAGTGGCCTCTCAAAACAACAACAACAATTATAGTAATAGTAATGAAAAGGATTGGGTGTTTTAGGGTAAAATGGACGGGTGAGATTGAAAGATGGGAATTCATGAGGATTAAACTAAGCTTCCATCTCGAGGCATTGCGTATCTGACAGTGTTCGTCCTTCCGGAACTAACCGTAGAATCTTGAAACAGTTTAACCTTTTCCTTCCGCCTCGAGAATTTCAAACCCCCGCTTAAACCTCGGGAAGATAATCATTGATTCAACTCACACTTAATGTTGGCTCGGAATTGAAACTTACTTTTGTTCATTTGGAAAGTTGTGGACGAAAAGAAACGTAAATGAATTTTGGATTTCAGGTACTTTTTTTTTTTTTTTTGGGGGGGGGGGGGGG